CCCTTCACCAGGTCTCAACAACGACCACCTGAGTCACCTTGAAGCCCCCCACGACCCTCAGAAAGTCCCCACCTCCCACCGTTCCCATGGGGGCCGTCCTCCCAGGTCCCCAACACACCATGAGGTTCTGCTGGTTCTGTGGCAGGTGTTTGTTGGGTCCTGGGGATTGAACGCTGGGAGCTTGACCATGGAGCCACATGCCCAGCCCTTTTTATTTTTTTATTTGGAGACARGATCTCCCTAACTGGCTGAGGACCTCGCAAAGCTACAGAGGCTGGCCTCAAACTTTAGGGCCTCCTACCTCAGCTCCCCAGCCATCTGCGTCAGTCTGCAGCCTGGGCCCCCAGCCATGCCTCCGCTGCCCTCATTCCAGACGGAGAAACTTTCCCAAGGCTTGAGTTCTGTGGAAGCGGGGAGCGGCGGCTCTGGCAGCCGCCCTAGGGAAACACCAGACTTASCCCAAAGGTTGAGTAGAAATAAGTTTTTAAATTTTAAAAATAGCATGATGAGCGCTTAACAATTCCATTTCACAAAATAAAGATGGTGAGTGCACCCCCCACAGATCCTCCAACTGGGTGCGACTGCTTTCATTTTGGTTTATTTCTTGTTTTTGTCCTTACAGATACCTACTTTGACACATCGTGACGGGGTGTGCAGACAGTTCGAATCCTGCCTGTTTATGAGAGAACGTGACAGCCTGATGCAGACAGCAAGAGAGGGGCCGGTCCTCCGCCGGCCAGCGTGCAGGTGACTGGATCTCATTTTCCTCCTCTTGTAGGTGGTCCGACCATCCCACAGATGGTTTTAAGGATGAAATGGTCATTCATGAAGTCTCTTGGCCCAGGGCCTAGAAAACAGTAAGCACTTAACAATTCCAGGTTYGTTTCATGGTCACCAAAACACGTGAGGTTTTAGAACTGACTTTCCCCCAGCAACCGTATCCAGATCCTATCGGTTTCCAATATAAAAACCCACATTTTACATTAAAAACCTCCAGTTTACATTTCATTCCCCTTAAAGAAAAACCCCGGGAAGGCAGAAGACGACTTTCCACCCTGGATCCTTCCGTTGGTTGGAGAGCWGCGGGGACTGACCTTGGCCGGGCTGCACAGCCGGGCTCTGCACACCCAAGAGGCGTCTCCGTCAGAGGAGACCCTGATCAGCAGTCAGCTGTCCCAGTGTCAATGGGGCCTGCGCTCGCTGCAGCGGGAACTCGGCTGGTCACGGGGAGGGAGGGAGGGATGGGTCCTTTCCGAGCCACAGCCCCCAGGGCTCTGTCCTGGGTCCCGAGTGGGTGCCACTCAGCTGATTTCCCAGTAGCACCAGGCTCCTCCTACCTGCCACCTGTCACCTCCTAYCTGCCACCTGGTTCAGTGGGGGCCTGGACTCTGTGGCCATTCCTTGCCTTGAGGCTCTGAAGGTGTCTGTAAAGTCATACAGACTCCGGGCAAGAGCTCTCCTCACCTGAGTCTCCCACCATCCTGCCGCGTCCCCCGCCACTGTGTCCAAGGCTCCGTCGGGGGGCCCTGCCAGGTAACCCGGCCGGAAGACGAAGCCTTGCCCAGGTCAGTGTCCCTCCCCTGTGCCGGAGCTCTGCCCCCAGGGCCAGATTGGAGGCTGTGTCCTACCGCAGCTCAGACTTGTCCCGAAGGGCCTGCCTGCCTGGTGGTGGCCCAACTGTGTGACCCGGCTGCCCTGCGGCTGCGCCCCTCCCCCTCCCCTGCTGGCCTCCGTGTCGGGGTCTCRCTGCTGTGACTTCTCCAATGCCCAGGCCACCTGGGACTCGCCCTGCGGGCTCCTGCCCACCCACTAGGACACAGTCTTCCTCCCCCAGCCCTGACTCCCAGGTCAGCCTGGAGCTGGTTTGTCCCCAAGTCTTCCTTCAGGAGCTGGGCCTCGTGCAGACGGCCCCCAGCGGAAGAACTGATGCTCGCAGACATCGTGGTYGCCCCTGGGACAGGCTGCTTCCTAGTCAACGCGCGCGATTGCTTGCTTTAGTTCAGACCTCTGCCATGTCCCTCCGTCCCTTGACGTCTCTGTAGAAAAAAGCTGTGTGTGCTTTGTGACGGTTGGTACCAAAGAGTGTTTTTGAGGTGTGGCCTGAACTCTGTCCTTCAAGAATGTCGGGCAGACCAAGTCAGAGGAGCTGGGTCCCGGAGCCTCCCGGAAGGAATCGGGGTGCCCCGCTGGTGGCCCCCACTCACCAGCACCGTGTTGTCAGGTCAGACCTCAGCTGCAACAAGACCCCTCTAGAGAGGACCCCCGCCCAGGCGTGGGGGCCCCCTGAGGTTCCCTTGGTGACGCTCACCACAGTGTGACATCGTGTGTGTGTGTGTGTGTGTGTGTGTGTGTGTGTGTGTGTCTGGCAGACAGGGCCTCCCCCGCCCGACCACAGGCTACCAAAGGCCGGAGCTCCGTCTGGTTCATGAAATCTCATCCTTGGCTCCTCACCCAATGCCCAGCTCAAAATGAACGTTCAAGGCGGAGACTGTTAGGGTGGACAAAGGGGCGGTGAGGAAGGACGGGGGCACCGGGGTGGAAGGGTGCGAATCATGTTTTGTGCATGTTCAGACATGCCACAGGCAACCACATTCTGTAGCATGTTACACACCAATAAAAAGATGGCAGTTCAATCAACACTTGTGGAGTGAAAGTTCTCCTCTTCCACTTGGAAGAAGAGTGAGAACCGTCCCCAGTGCTGGTGACCGCCGGGTGACCAACACKAGGAAGACCCCTGACCCTGTCCCGTTTCCATGTCCGTCATTTGAATTCTCTGTGCTGTCAAGGGCCTGCCCCTGGGTGGGCCCCCCGGGGACGGGGAGGTGGGCGGCTCTTCTCGGTGGCCCGCTCCAGCCTCCCTGATTTCTTGATGGCACACCGTGGAAGCCATCCTCCAGACTCCTGCAAGGCCCTGTCTCTCTGTGTCCAAAGTCTGCYAATAGAAAGCAACCTGAGACTCGTGCCGACGGTGGTTTTCCATGGGAGCACTACAGCACCTAACACGTAAACCCTGAGCCGTGGCCATGAGAGGACACCGTCAGTGGAGAGACTCGGGTCTTACCTGCACTAGGGGAAGGGGACTCAGGAAGGGGGCCTGAAGGAGCCTAAAACCCAGAGTGTTCACCGTATCAGCCACCAACCATGCTCTCAGTGGAGGAGCTTCGCTGCAGKGAGAAAATGAGTGCAGAGATTCATGAGGTTGCCATCTTACCAGAAAATGAGTGGCAGGTGTGAGGCTCTGGGTTCCATCCTCGGCACCACATAAAAACAAACAGATGAAATAAAGACTTCTGTCCATCTACAACTACAAAAAAAGACAGAGAGTCAGCCCCTTGGGCCTTTGCACTCGGAGCATGACGTTTGGACAGGAATCATCTCTGCTCTTCCTGTCAGCGGGGCCAGTCTTGGAAAACCTCAGTTTCCATGTCTGTACAGCGGGGTGCCGAGACCTCTTCCAGAGTGGCCCTCSGGTCCCCTGCTCCAAAGCTGTAGCCACTCACCAGGTCCCAGCCAGGTCTCTCCCCGCCTGTTTTCCCTCATGATATCACCTTCCAGAGCCTTAGGGGTCTCAGAATTGATCCTAAATCGTATTTAATTCTACTGTGATTGCTTCCTTTGTGGGGTTACTTTGATCCCTTCAGGGAGGTCAGATTGTGAGCTCCCCAGGGGGAGTTCTGGGATCCGTCCTGACGTCCCAGGTTTTCAACACTCTTCTAAATGGGAACAAAAGCAATCAGGGTGATAATGGTGACGATTCCCATCTAACAACAGACCATTAACACACCCACACACACTCACATACACACACATTCCCACACTCACACTCACTCACACTCACACACACTCACACACACTCACTCACACTCACTCACACACACACACACTCACACACACACTCTCTCACACTCACACACTCACACTCACACACACACACACACTCACACACTCACACACACTCTCACACTCACACACACCCACACACACTCACACACAACTATGCCCCAAGCAGTCGGCCAGACTGTCTCTCATTCAACAGCCCGAGGCCTGATTTACAGATGACAGAACAAAGTCTCAGATGTTAAGTGGCTCGCCACTTGCAAATCAGCAGCTGGGATTGGAGCCCTCACACCGGGCCCCGGAAGCTCCCCTTCCCACCCAGTCAACTCCCACCTCGTCCTTCTCTTGGAGTCACAATGTAGAGGGACACAAAGGTGATGTAAGACAGAGTTTATTAAGAAAATGACTCACATCAGTTCTCTTTTTCTTCCTGTAAAACCTCACCATGGAGGAGTGACCTCACAGAATCTCTGGTTCAAAAACATGCATTTCACTCWCACACACACGCACACACACACACACACRCACACATGCATTTTCAAAGGTGATGATGTCACTATCCAATTCTGGGCGTCCTTCATCTGCATTCCAAGTGGCAGCCACCGTGGTGGATTCATCTGGAGACACCAGACAGCGTCGGGGGGCACGGCCTCTGCACCCCTCACTTGGCGGTCTCCTTGGGGGCACCAGAGACAGACTGGAATCTGTGCCCCTGAAATAAGGGCCTTCCCAGACAGAGCTGAACATCCTGGAGATTCCCTCCTCCTGACCCCCCACACCTGGGGGAGACCCGGGGTCTCGCGGTGCCACGCCCTCCTCTGGGCACTCTAGTTGGCGGCCAGCAGGARAAGGAACAGGAGGGAGATGATGTCCAGTGGCTTCTCTCCTCTGCCCTTCTCATCTTCAAGCAGAAGTTCTTTTCCCAGGAGGAATCCAGGCAGCACAACTCTGTCTTTGTTTTCCTAAGTCCTCGGGAAATCCCGCTGGCCTCAGCACTGGTGGTCTGGACAGAGTCTGAGAGACAAGGACTCCTGGGGTTTCCTGTCCATAAGGTCTTTTTTGGCTGGGAGGGGGTGGTTTCCCAGGTTTGAACCCAGGGGCCCTTAACCACTGAGCCACACCCCCAGCCGTCTTGGGGTTTTATTTAGAGACAGGGTCTTGCTGAGTTGCTGAGGGTGGCTTTGAACTCACGATCCTCCTGTCTCAGCCTCCCGAGCCTCTGGAGTCACAGGYTGGGCCACTGTGATAAGATCTCTGGAGGACCGCTGGACAAACAGCCCAGGGAGGATGGGGAGGAACCCCAGTGGCGTCTGGGTGCACAGAGACTCCCCACGGGAGCAGGCCCTGTGGACTGGGTCCGCTCTGGTGAAGGAAAGGCGGGGACGTCCCCAACAGGGGCCATCTGCCAGAGGCACGGACCAGAACACCTCTAAAGTTGAGGCTGATGGTCAAGTTCTGGGGATCCCTTTAAAAACCGAGTAGAGGAGGAGCACCGGGCAGGCCAGGCCCCCTCCAACTCCAGGACACGGCCCATGGGGACAAGGTCCAGAGCAGGCGATRCCAGGCCTCTCTGGGCTGGGGACTGAACTCCTCCTGGGAGGTCCGGGCTGGGTCGGGTTCTTTGGGGATGGAGCAGGAGGCGTCATGGGGTGTCTCTGGTGTCCCCTCGTGGGCTACCCTTCCCTTCCTCTGGCGCAGGCAAGAAGTGACCGAGAGATGGCCCGGAGCACACCAGGTGGAGGTGGGCAGGCAGCGCCTGGGAGCTCCGGGGACACCGTCAGCAGCGCCCACYGGGAGACGCAGGGCCCGCAGGAGCAGAGGAGTGACGAGGAGGGGACCGGGAGGAAGAGACCCCTTGTCCCTCCCTGGGCCTCTTTCTCCCCGCCTCCCCCGGACTCCCGTGGCTGAGGGTCACACCGAGAGGTCATCTGACCTGGCCTTGCTGCTGGCCTTGCTGAGACGGCGCTTGTCACTGTGGTCGCTGTGTGGGAGGCGGTGACCCGCGGAGACCCCGTCGGGCACCTCGGGCTTCTGGCCATACCGGATCTGGATGAAGCCCTCCCTGGGGTCTGGCTGCTGGCCCGGCGCTGGGTGCGCGGCCAGGCAGTCCGGGTTCTGCGGGGGGACCGTGCTGTCCCCGAAGGGACGGAAGAACTTGGCCCCGGGGCCGTCCCCCAGGCACTGGCTGAAGTCGGGCGGCGGCGTGCAGCTCTGGGCCGTGGCCCCCGAGGGACCCGGGAGCCGGCGCTCGGGCAGGCGCGGCCGGGGCTTGCCCCAGGCGTGCCTCATCTTCCTCCAGCCCAGGTGGTAGAGCTCGGCCAGGCTGAGGAGGAGGGACAGCGCGGCCACGGCCAGCATGAAGACGATGAAGACGTTCTTCTCCGTGGGCCGGGACACGTAGCAGTTCACCGGGTGGGGGCAGGGGCTGCGGCGGCAGACGTGCAGGGTGCTCAGGAAGACCCCGTAGAGCAGGTACTGGCCCACGATGAAGGCCACCTCCATGGCGGTGCGGATCAGGAYGGTGCAGACGTAGGTGTGCAGCAGGGTGCCTTGCAGCACCACCCGTCCGTTCATCTCCTCCCAGCAGGACAGCTCCGCCTTCTCGGCCGCGGGGTGGCCCTCTCTGGCCCCCCCCGCCTCCCGGAGCCTCCGCTTCTCCTCGGTGCGCACGTGGTGCATGGCGTGGCCCATGTACACCAGGGACGGCGTGGACACGAAGATGATCTGCAGCACCCAGTAGCGGATGTGCGAGATGGGGAAGGCCTGGTCGTAGCACACGTTCTCGCAGCCCGGCTGGAGGGTGTCGCACTGGAAGTCGGCCTGCTCGTCCCCCCAGGAGGACTCGGCCGCGGTGCCCAGCACGAGCATGCGGAAGATGAAGAGCACCGTGAGCCACACGCGCCCGATGACGGTCGAGTGCTCGTTCACCTCCTCCAGGATGTTGCCCAGGAAGCTCCAGTCGCCCATGCTGGCGCGGAAGGGGACGGGTGCCCGGTTCTGCAAACAGAGAGAGAGAGAGAG